AAATAACAGTAAAATAAGAAAGTTAACTTGACCTAAAACGCAGCGCTATCTGACCTCATATGTTTAAGCCTGTTAGTGCTTGGGTGGGTTCCACCACAACTGTGACCATGCCCGGTACAGACCATACAGTGAGGCCTGGTGTCTCCACTAGAGGTCAGCAAAAACTTGTGAGCTTGTGCTAGGTTCAAAGGTACAGACGTTTTATGAAGTCATTAAATAGAAAAAAATAGTATTGTACTCATAATTACACATTGATTAATGTGTAAATACGTCTTCCAATAAATTAATGCATTCTCATAAACTTAGAATTACATACATAATACGCCAAAGGCGATGGAGAAGAGAACTCCCTGCATCTTCAGACTCAAGATATGAAGGATCATACATGTTTTATCAGCAGAGATGGGGTCCTCTTCACCAAGGGAGCAAAAACGTCAAAACCAAAGAGAGCGCGACTGGCATCTGGATGAAATTGAATCTTCTTCCTCCTCATTGCCACCCCTTATTTCCTGAACTTACGTCAGGGGTCTAACATACAGAAACGTCCATAAACATGTTTATTTCTTCCTGATATTGTCAGAATGACTTATTGTCAGGACATTAGACGGGACCATCTCATTTTTGGACAGCTGACAATGAACTGGCTAAACAAAAGTTTCTAAGCTAACATTATGCTAATGTAGCTAATGTTAAGCGTGAATGTCTTAAAAAATCACACTTTCTCTCCGTTAAACAGTTTGAATTTATTCATCACATCATACATCACAATATATGAGAGTTTATTCACTAAGTTCAGCAATTTCAGTTCCACTTCAAAGTAAATTTCACTAACGCTAGCAAACAGCAGCTAACAGCACCTAACGGGGCTAACAGCAGCGCTTAGCCACAGAAAAGTTTAGGATATCCTCAACAACTCAGTATTGGTGTCACCGATCAGAAGTGAGCTTCAGTGACTCATCGACTCATATCAGACTGGTTTCAGTCTTTTACAGCCTCCTCCAAAGTAAATAAAGGTGGATGCTTCTCACCTGGCATATTGACAGCTAAGCTAAACAGTGGACTGACAGTCTGTACAGATAGCAAAACTCTCCAGGGCCACTTCTGTCACTTTGCTATCTGAGTACTTTTCAGACCCGTGACTGGCGTTTTTATGGTGACTCTGGGGTAAAAACATAAAATGCGCCAAAATATTTAATTGATATAAATCTGTGTTTTATTCCTGATTGATTGCTAAGTGTCGATATACTTATATGCAGAGATGGGCGTTACTGTAATCCGATTACTTTTTTCAAGTAACGAGTAAAGTAAGGGATTACTATTGCAAAAACGGTAATTAGATTACCGTTACTTTCCCGTAGGAAC